CACAGTCAGAAAAATTTCGGGTTCAGTTCCTTCCAGCAATTGATCAGTTCCTGAGGTCACTGGATCAACGGTTAAAGGCCTATGAGGAAACCTGTTCACTTTCGGGTTCTTGTCTAAACTGGAGTCAATGAATTGTGACGAAATTGAAGCAGCTGCAACAAAATTGGTTGCCAGTACAAAAATGATTTGGATCAAACACTTGGGTTGAACTTGTGCAGTTTACAGCATTCTTCACTCAATTTGTTGAAGACGAAGATGATGAAAAGGGAGGGCACATTACCTTCAAGCTGTTGATAGACAAGAAAGTTGTAGATACATTTCCAAATGTTGAAATAATGCTACGGATGTACTTGGTGCTCATGGTCACAAATTGTTCTTGAGAACGTTCTTTCAGTATAATGAAGTTTATTAAAAACAGACTTCGTACTACAATGTGTCATGATAGGCTCAGCCACCTGGCTTTGATGAGTATCGAATATGACATCCTCAGAGAGATTGACTTCGAAAAGTTGATCAAAAACTTTGCAGCGGCCAGGTCACGTAAAGTGCCTGGTCTGTAAATAAAGGTAAAATATTTTCTATTTTCCAATTGATCAATGTTTGTGTTCAATATGTCCATTATCCATGGTCGATGGCAGTTATTTTTATTTTGTTTTTTTGTTTTTTCCAACATGTTCATACTTTTGTTTATATTTTATCCAATTCATTAAACTGTTTATTTGTTTTACTATTGGATGCAAAACTTCTGACCTTGGACTTAAAGAAGCCTATACATGCATTCTTGGACATAACCATTATTTGAGTAGAGGTTTATCTGATTAATAACGCAAAGAATCATCTCTGTAATAACTAATAATATATTCTTTTCTGTGAAGTCTCTTGAAATTTTTTGACATGTGCGGTAGTAGCTATATCAGGGCTGGTCGACTTGAACCCCACATGAATGACTCCAGTCATGTCTCACTTTTTGTGTGTGTGTGTGTGTGTGTGTGTGTGTGTGCGTTGGGAATTTGTACACTATCAATAAATATACAGTTAATTAAAAATTTCTCAATGTTCTAATTTCCTCAATATAACTGCATATGGCTTCAAAATCTCCAAAAGTGTTCAAAATTAAAAATTTTCCGGTGGGCTTACAGCGCCCCCCGGAACTCCCAGATGTTTAGGCTCGCTTCACTCGCCACCCCACCCTCTTGGGTAGTTATAATGAGAGGGGCCTCCACAAAGAGGCTGCCCATGGGCCTCCACAGGTCTAAATCCGGCACTGGGTACGGATGGTGATTTCGTGCCATTAATCACCACACACTGCTTGCGGTCATGTAGAAAGTCTTCTATTTAAGAGAGAGCCTCAAACCACGTCAGTACTACCAATCAATAGCCGCCCTCCGGTGGGAGTGTGGGTCACTCACAGGCAGGGCTGGGGATTTATATGATTCTTCGGATCAAGAAATGAGGTGCGAAGTGAGCGGCGATGCTGGTTGGCTGAGGCTAGGACGGCGGAGCGGTTGAGGGAGCGTAGGTTACTACAAGTTGACTTTTTGGGTACGATTCATCTTGGGTACGAGTTGTCGCGATTACGAGATGACCCGAACAATGACATTTCTAACCACACCCTGCAAAATACAGTGTACTTAGCAAATGCTGCAGGCAGCTTCTGGAGAATGGGGAGAGGGGGCGGGTTGACATTAAGAGCAGAGACGTTACCGAGAACAAATTCTGGCTTGAATGTCATGTACACTAATACCGACACGTTCCTGGATAAGAGGGAGGAGTTTGAAACACTACTAAGAGTACACCAACCAGATATTGTAGGAGTTGTAGAACTGTTGTACAAGAACAGGAGAATCGACCCAGAGGAATGTGAGTTCAGTATTGCTGGATATGACTCATTTACGAACCTAACTCAAGAATCCTGCAGGAGGGGTGTGGTTATCTATGCTAGGCAAGACCTTAGAGCCAGCCAGGCGAGGGTACAGGGAGAGGATGTTTTTGAAGAGTCCAAGTGGTGTAAAATTAAATTAAAGGGAGGGGACTTACTTATCGTCGGGTGTATCTACAGATCCCCAAACTGTGGCCCACTAAATCAAAGGAACTTAAGAACCTTAATAAACAACGCGGCGATGCTCAACCCTAGCCACCTCCTTATCATGGGGGACTTTAACTATGGCGACATCGACTGGAGAAACGAGTCCACCCCGAATGACTTGAATAACCCTGCAACTCTTTTTGTAGAAACTCTGAGAGATAATGTTCTGTTCCAACATGTTAGAGACCCGACACATTACAGAGGGGAGCAAACACCCAAGCCACTTGACCTCATCATAACAAACGAGGAGGGTATGGTGGCCAAACTGGAACACCTTGCCCCAGTTGGCACCAGTCACCATATAGTGTTGTCATACAGATATAACTGTTACCTAGTTCAGGATAAGGCCAAGCCAAGGTGCAAATATTTCAAGGGAAATTACAATGGGATGATGGAAGAGATGAGGGGTATCAACTGGCCTGACTTATTAAGGTACAAGAACGCAGACACTACGCTGAATATCATAACTAGTAAAATGACCCACTTGATCGATAAATATATACCCAAGACCAAACCCAGTGCTTCTAGGAATACGAGGGGATCCCTACACATGAACCATGCGGCGGTCAACAAAATTAAGAAGAAAACCCAGAAATTCAAGACGTGGGTTGGGTCAAACGATGAGCAAGACAGGAGGATGTATGCAAGAGCCAGAAACCAAGCAAAGATAGAGTGTAGGAGGGCTGAAAAGGAGTTCCAGAGGCTGGTTGCAAGCGAGGTCAAGTCAAACCCAAAGGCGTTTTATCGCTATGCAAAGTCGAAATTGAAAACGCGAGTAGGCGTATCAGACCTGAGGCTGGTGGGTGGTAGTTACGCAGATTCTGACCAGGATAAAGCTGAGTCATTGAACAGCTTCTTTTCCTCAGTGTTCACAAGAGAGGATCCAACTAACCTTCCTGCGTTTGAGGACAGACGGTTCGACACAGCACTGACCCACATTGTGTTCACAGAAGAGGGTATTAGAAATAAACTGTCCGGGCTAAAGGTCCATAAGAGTCCCGGACCTGACATGGTGCATCCTAGAGTGCTAAGAGAGTTGAGCAACGAGCTTGCAGAGCCCCTGAAGATCCTGTTTTGTAAATGCCTGGATGAACAAATGGTCCCCAGTGAATGGAAAGTGAGCCTGACCATAATATGTAAAGCACTTGAGAGTATTATGAAATTGGTGGGTGCGCCAAGTCCATAGACTTGCTAGTGAGAGATGCCGCAATGGAACAGATAATACGAAACAACCTTGTAAAAGATGGCCAACACGGTTTTATGCCGGGGCGCTCCTGCTTAACACAATTGCTCAAGGTATTGGATATTTGGACCCATATTCTGGAACGGGGTGGTAATATCGACAATATTTACCTAGATTTTGCCAAGGCTTTCGACAGTGTACTCCACGAAAGGCTAAAAATCAAACTGGAAGGGTACGGAATTCGGGGAAATGTCCTAGCGTGGATAGAAGACTTTCTACATGACCTCAAGCAGAGTGTAGTGATTAATGGCACGAAATCGTCATCTGTACCTGTCACAAGTGGGGTACCACAGGGCAGTGTATTGGGTCCGCTGTTGTTTGTTTGTTTCATAAATGACATGCCTGACGTTGTACATTCCTCCATACAAATGTTTGCCGATGACGCCAAGTTATTTCGGGAAATTAAGAACCGAGCGGACTGTGAAGAACTGCAGAAGGACCTCTGTGGGCTCCAGGAATGGTCGAAGAAATGGCTGCTGAGATTCAATGTCACGAAGTGTAAGAGGATGCACCTGGGGCGTACCAACGGTAAGGAGTCGTATCATATGTCCCAACGGGATGAAGAAACTGCACTAGTTGAGACTTGTGTGTGAGAAGGACCTAGGTGTGTATGTTGACAATGAGCTGAAGTTCTCGGGCCATTGCGAGAAGAAGGTAAGTCAGGCAAATAAATTATTGGGTCTTATAAGAAGGTCGTTCAGATATCTAGACGGTCCGTCCCTGGTAACAATCTTCAAGAGTGAAGTGCTTCCCCATCTGGAGTACTGTCACCCCATCTGGTCCCCGAGATATGCTAGGGACTGTCAGTTGGTTGAAAATGTTCAAAGGAGGGCCACCAGACTGGTGCCTGCACTTCGGCACCTCAACTACCCTGAGAGATTGGAGCGCCTGAACTTGCCTAGCTTATACTACAGACGGGCAAGGAGGGACCTAGTTGAGGTGTACAAGCATCTCAGGGGCACTACTCAGTTGAGTGTCCTTACTTGGAGCTGGCGGACGCTCGTCCCACAAGGGGTAACAGCTCAAGATTGAAGAAGCCGCAAGTCCAGAAAACCGTGAGGGCAAACTTTTTCGGAGTGAGGGTTGTAAACTCTTGGAACAATCTACCAGAGAATGTTCTGACAGCACCGAGTGTGAGCTCTTTCAAGACAAGACTTGACCAACACTGGAGTGGGTTCAGGTACATTCAGGAGCCGGTGCATGCCCAGTACTTGCCAACAGTGCGTGACAGAGACGTGACCGATCGCCCAAGCGGCTAACAAGCCGAATAGTGGCGAAGAGGATAAAAACTAAAAGTAAAAGTAATGAATCTGGTCTCTGGACCCTTACCTACTGTAATACCTACAGTAGACGTAGGTGAAATACTGCTTGGAAATTTTCTTTAAGCCTGATTATTCAAGATATATGATTTCATCTGTGATATTACTGTGTTTTGATCTCTATAATTTATTACAAGAGGAATTAATATTTCAAGTGACATGTAATTAATTTATCAAAGACACGAATTAATATTTTGTAATATGAATGTCATGAAAAAGGTAAATATATATTTTAGCGTAATTACATCTCATATAATATTTTATTGTGGATAATATATAACTTATAATATTATATATATATTGACTTGTTGATTAGATGTATTTTAATAATAATTATATTCATATATTTCAGGTTAAATATGAAGGCAGTGTGACGTCATCTTGTACACAAACTCGGTCTGTCTGGGTGGAATAATTTCTCTTGGCTGTTGACGAAGACCACCACCACGGTAAGTCCTCACAACCACTCCTAGTGCAGTATTATTAACGGTCTTATTTGTGATTTTATGACTTTATTTCTTTGTCCATTGTCTGTGAGCAGGTTCCCGTCTTGTATACTTGAAGCTGTTCCTTGTGGGTTAGGTTAGGTCGGCTGGTTCCTTGGGTCCGACTAATTACCCAAATGTAGCCGCAATGAAGTCAAATAATGGTCCTACATGAATAAATCGGACTGCCAACCACTTCTCGACGAGTATTTGGTGTCATAAAGTCACAAAAAATTGGTCAACTTAATTTAATCTGAGTTGTGTTAGGTTAGGTTAGGTTAAGTACATCCACTCGATCTATTAACTCAGATTAAATTAAGTTTTCCAATTTCAAATACTGACTGATCCGGACCCTTCAATGTTTAGACCGAATATAACTTTCATTTACGTCGGAAAGTGGCTCTTTTTTAATCTATTTTTTCGTGGGACGTTTTCCGAAAAAAATAATGGCTAAGCGAATACAAAATACACCAAAAAACACTAGAAAAACATAAACCAAACCTAACCTACTGTAACTGACTCTCACCATATGATGGAATCACCTATTTCTTACCTTATTGCCGTTCTTATTATATCCGAGCAGGATAGGACTCGGAGCAACGGATTTAAGTTGGATAAGTTTAGGTTTAGGAGGGAGATAGGAAGGAACTGGTTCACAAATAGGGTGGTGGACGAGTGGAACAAGCTTAGCAACTTTGTAGTAAGTGCTGGAAAGTTTCAAAAGGAGGCTGGATAGATTCATGGATGATAGAGTGGTTGTAACTCTCGACAGGAGCTGCCATGCACAGGCCAACCGGCCTATTGCAGACTCCTTATGTTATTATGTTCTTTGAGATAAGGGACGAGTTAGGACAACGTCACATATGTTGGTCTTGACGATATTTACATTCAGTCTTGCACTTAGGACACTTTACTGAGGTCAGGAGAACACCATGCGATCGAAAAAATGCTAGAGTTTCTTTGTTTTTTTCCCCAAAAGTCGCAATCAGTTCCATATAATAGAAGTGACACCCATCACAGACTTCCATGGTCGGAAATGAACATGAATTTGGAAATATGTGAAACCCAAAATAAAAATCAATTTTGATTGGGCCAGAAATACCGCAAATTAAACCAAAAATAATTTTAATTGGTTGCAAAAATAAGGGCTTTTGATTGGCCGCGTGACGTGTATGGGAACACATGTGCGTGATGATTTATGAAGGAGACACGCAGTGTGGGAGGTGAGGTAGGCGATAATGGCGGAAGATTAATGGAAGAAAATAGAGAACATTTTGGATACGCTTTCTCCGTTATTATACATTTGCGACGGTAATGTAATAGATGAAAATTATCTTATATTTAGATGACTTATTAGAATATGATAATAGATTAGTGGTAGGAATGTGGGGTGTGAAAATGCAATAATACCTAGTTTTTGACCCCCCCCCCCAACAATAATGGAAGAGTGCCTGAGAAATCAGGTTTTTTGGGTGGGGGAGAAAACGAATTCATCTGACCTAACAAAACCTAACTCCTGGCCAGGGGCAGAGCGGACCCCCAGCAGGCCTAACCTGACCCCTAGCCAGGGGTGGACCCCCGGTAGGCCTAGCTTAAACTAACCTAAACGTTTTAGTAGTTAAAATCTTTGGTGCGCGCCGTGTCCGAAAGTACAATACTTTTGTTGAAGTGGAAGGACCGGGGATATGTAAGAATTGAATAGACTAATCCTCTTACTCGTAAAACTCTGCAATAAACTTAAAATAATCATAGGAGCACAAACGACAACCAACCTCCACCATGCCCATTGTGAGACTGGTCAAAGAAATTAAAATTATACATAAGAACATGAGAATGGAGGAAACTGCAGCTGGCCTATTGGCCCATACTGGGCAGTCCCATTTACACCCAACCCCTATTGCTCATATATCCATCCAACCTAAGATTGAAGCTGTCCAGCGTATTCGAGTTAATGATGATGTTTGGTAACTTTTTCCACTCATCCACTACAGTGGTCCCTCAGTTAACGAGCACAATTCGTTCCAGAAGGTTGCTCGTTAACAGAAAAAATTGTTAACCGAAACCATTGATTCAATGGGTTTTTGGGTAATTGGTTCCAGCTCACCGAAAATTACATACAAACTAAAAATAAATGCAGTTAAGTACACTTACTTTGAGGTGTGCATGTAGAAGGCTCCTGGTTGATGATGATGATGGGAATTAGAATGGGGGTGCAGGAGAAGGGAGAAGGGAGAAGAGAAGGTAGTGGGGGTGGAAGAGAAGTCACCTCATGCCGCCATTTCGCCCATAAAATTTTAGTTCTCTTGGTGTAATTCAAGATTATTTTCTTTAAATCAACACTGCACTGCGCTATATATTATCAATATGTAAAATACATTTCAAAATGACCAATAATTTGACTGGAAACACAGAAAAAAGCATTTATATTGTAGAGTCTCAAACAAGATGTTCCTTCCTCTGAACTGGTAAACAAACTGACGCCAAGCTTGGTGTGTTGAGTGGCTGCTTGGTGCGCAAAAAACTAGTTTCCTGTACTTCAATTATGTTCAATAATTGTTAAAATGACTAAAAAATTTATTATAAAACTTTTAAAATTATTGAATAGTACAACCTTCTTGATATTTACTAAAATGGTAAGGAATTTAAGCCCTAAAACCGATTACTGTATTGGCAGACTAATACTACAGCTGGTGGGCAGCCAAATGCAGGTGAAAACATGTTGGGAAAAATTCGTAAGGAATTCGTTAACGAAGTGAAAGAATCTTATGGAAGGTATTTGTTAGCGAAATTTACGTAACAAGCGCTAGTTAACCGAGGATCACTGTACTCTACAGTATTTCCAAACCAATGTTTACCTATTTCACGCCCTAAATCTAAATTTGTCTAATTTAAAACCATTATTCTGAATTCACTCCTGGTTGGATGGTTTGAGTACCTTTGTTATATCACCTTTGTTCAGCCCTGACTTCCATTTATACACCTCGATCATATCGCCCCTCACTCTACATCTCTCGAGGGAGTGCACATTAAGATGCTTTAACCTGTCTCTGTACTCAAGGTTCCTAATGCCCCGGATTAGTCTTGTCATCCTCCTCTGAATGCTTTCTAGGGATTCTATATCCATTCTATATCTGATGTTGACCAGAAGTGAGGTCTCACAAGCGCAATATATAGTTTTAGGATGACCTCGCTAGTCTTGTAACTAACACTCCTTTGTATGAACCCAAGTACTTTATTAGCCTTGTTTCGAGCAAATACATTGTTCACTTGACTTATGATTCCTACTGATCATTACTCCTAAATCTTTCTCGCAGTCGGATTTCTCTATAACATCGTTGTTCATCTGATATATGGTTTCCCTGTTTACATCTCCTAGACTTAGTACTTTACATTTGTCCACATTGAATTTCATCTGCCATTTTTCAGACCATTCAAAAAATTTGTTTAGATCTTCCTGTAGTGTTGCGTAGTCCTCGCCACACTTTATTACATGCCCTATTTTAGTGTCATCACCAAATTGACTTATGTTTCTGTCTGTGAGAAAAATTAAATGTGATTAGTTGACAAAACTTTGTGCCATAAACAGACACGTCATTGGTCACCACTGGGTGACGTGAGTCAACACTGTGCATGTGTGATAACATTTCCTCAGACGAAGACTGAAAACTATTTAAAATAAATTAAATTCAATTGTGTCGCTATTATCCATTTCCTCCATGTATATATGGGGTTCAAAATGCTCAGAATAGCGAGATCTAAATGTTTCAGGAGTTCATAACTTCTGGGGGCGCTGTGTCTGAAAGTAAAATAATACCTTTTTTTTTTGGTGTTTTACCTAGGTAAATCTCACCTCCATTCTTGTGCAAATTAACGGTTTGAGTCAATTTATAGTATCACACCGGTCTTTATTTCAATATTAGAAATAGGTTTTTCTACTGTATTTTGATGAGTTTCGAACGAATTAGATATTAATTTCCACTGGAAATCATGTGTTTATCAGGTACCCCCCCACCAAACAATCATATCAGAAAAAGTTGGATTTTTTTTAGAATAAATAACATTATATTACCAACCAACCGAGAAAACCTAACCTAACCTAACCCCCCATCGGAGGCCTGGAGCGACGTGTGAGTCGGGGGGTCAGACCACCTCCGCCATAAGTGAGCAAATCGTGGCGACACTTGTGACCGAGCGAAAGTAATACTGTAATCTTTAAAAATTAATTTCCGGCGGAAATATGATAGAAGAAAAAGTCTTAGAATTGCGTAAACATTACGAGATACATATTTTTAACAGGGAAATAAAGACCGGTGTGATACTATAAATTCACCTTCATTAGTGGCCAAAAACACTTGTTATGAACACGAAGATAAGCACTGGGAGGCTTTATTCAACATCAGTGTCCATAGATCTGTAATAAACAGGAATTACATATTAACAATGACTAAGCTTCAAGTAACAGAATGGCTTAACACAAATAAACATAACATAAGAAACATAAGAGAACTTCAAACAATATAATCTAGAGCACATAACCAACTAGCGTAAAACATCAACGCTAATTTGAGTAAAACACAAAATAAACCTTTTTTGTACCAATGGTTCGTTAATGAACTTACGAACGTCACGTTTTGTTGTGAGCATCAGCTGATGGGCTAGTCTGCCAATTCAGTCCAGTAATCTGTTCTATGTTTACATTTGTTTCTAGTGGAGTAAATATCAAGAAAATTGTGTTCTTTAATATTTATGCATTTTTTATATTAAAATTATTGGTCATTCTAAAATTTAGCCATCCAAGCTCCGTCTATAAAGTTTTTCAACTATTATTTTTGGCTCGATATATGTAACTTTATTCATTTATTGAAATTCATTTACATGCACACACTGTCCTCAGGACAAAGCTGTACTGTACATGTAATCAAAATAAAGTACAAAATGATTACTAAAATTTTAGTCTAGTGCAA